GGCAGAGAGCGAGGGAGTGCCTCTGAAGGCAGAGAGCGAGGGAGTGCCTAGTACCTGGTACTGGTCAGTGATCTGACCCTCCATTTCCAAGGTCTGTGCGTTATTAGGTTCAAGCCATTATGGATGGCGCCACAAAGGTTATTAGAGCAAGCCGTCCAATCAATGTAGTGAGGGCCATACATTAGTGCTCTCTCTTAAAGATCATAAATACAGGAGTCTGATGCTAAATGGCCTGGCTGTTTTTTTTTCCGAAATATAAACTGTTTGTTGTTTGGGATCAAATTCCGCTTGTCCTGCTATTGTTCCTGGACCTGAGAAGTAACCGCACCAATTAAAAAAAAAAAAAACTTTTAAGTTCTTGTGCCACAAGACCTAGTTGATTCAGCAGCTTTTGTTTCCTTATGTGAAGAGTGGAATGCATTCTCAATAGCACACTCAAAGGAAAGAAGGATGTTTTTACACGATCGACGCGAGTCCATGGTAGATTCACACGATGTGCGGCAGCTGCTTGCTGTGATCAGTAATGTTCTTCCAGTTGGGTTGTTATAGCATGAACCCAGATTTCTCCGCTGCTTTGCTGGAATATCGCTTTCTGTTTAAGAAAGCCTCACATGCCAAAATCTGTGTCGACTCTAATGGTTTTCATATGAATGCTCCTGTGTTAAATTACCACTGTTGGTTTCCTATGTGTGTATGTGTGGTGTCAGATGAGGGTTAGTTAAAATGTCTGATTTTGATCTTCTAACATTCCAAACAGCGGAGGTAAAGCAAGAGGCGGGCAGTGTATTCCGCGATGGCGCCCCCTATCAGCGCCGTGGGTCCCTACAGCTGTGGCAGTTCCTGGTGGCCCTGCTAGACGACCCAGGCAACGCTCACTTCATCGCTTGGACAGGCCGCGGCATGGAGTTCAAGCTCATTGAGCCGGAAGAGGTGAGTACAGCTATCTTCGCCTGACCTGTGACTAAATGGAAAGTGAGGCAGTTAATCACTTATCATGCGTGTTTCTGGTCCAGAGAATTCATTTGGATGCCATTGTCCATCCTGTCTGCAAACGGCACATTTTAACTGGGTCATACCAGAAACAAGGAGAAACATACTGGCCTTACATTGGCCTGTCCCATTCAACAGGATCCACAAGGGTTCTAGCCAATCACTGAATAGGATGATATAAAGGGGCTTTCCAGCAGAATTCTGTAATTTGTTACAAACTGTATGTTTCTGGTTACATTTACAGCACCATCATGCTTTATTTAGATTTTCAAAGTGAAAAAAAAGGTCTGAGTCTAGTTTCCTCACAGTAGGTCTGTTCTTTCACACTTGAGACATTTTGCTCTTCCGATACAAATCTGAGCTGATGTGTGTCCTGGTTTTGACAGAAGGTCGCCACTCTCAGAAAACAAAGTGCAAGTTCACTGTTCACAGTGCATGTAATACAATTTCCTGTGGACATTGTGGGCTGTCGTCTGTCAATGAATAAAATGATCCTACTGTTGTTTTTTGGTGGAATTTCCCTCTGAATTAGGCTGAATTCAGTCTGTCGAGGCTTGAAGAGAAATGTCTTTGTTGAGCTTGTATCTAATATAGAAAACAAAAAAGCTATAAATATTCAGTACATGTCAGTGTTGACTTGTGTGAAAAGCAGCTTACTGGTACTTTATCAAGATAATATGGGCATCATAATGATGAGTGGAAAAAAACAGTTAAAAAGCAGATAAGTGGCAGCATCAAGGATGCACTGCACAGTAGCTGTGTCTTAGCTTCCATTCAGCACATTGACTTTTCAAACAACAATAAATGTGGGTGTTTAAAGATCATATGCCTCGCTTCCATTAGTGTCCATATATTATTCAGGACTCTTTACAGCAGTGTTTCCCAATCCGGTCCCCAGGGACCCACAGTCGGTCCGTGTTTTTGCTCCCTCCGTGCTCCCTGCCAGACAGTCCACAATTGGGAGGGAGCAGAAACGTGGACAGTCTGTAGGTCTCCGAGGACCAGATTGGGAAACACTTTACAGTATAGAATGAAGGCTTGTCTCCTTGAGAAGAGCCTGAAACGTCATGGCTAATTTTCTCTAGATAACTTCCACCCTCCACCACTGAATCACGTTTTGTTCTACAATGTCCCCTTAAATGAAGACAATCTAATTACAATACAGCAGCAGAAGCTTTTTCCGGATGCATTCTTTGCTTCTGCTGTATCGTGCATTTAGATTAAGACAAGATTTTTGTGGGTCTATTCTGATGCTCTAGGGTAAAAATAATTGCTCTGGATGCAGGGCCCAAACCAAACTCTGACATGAACGTAGATTAGTAAAGAAACTTATTTCAAACCATCAACTTCGGAGCTTATCAGAGCAGCCCGGGGTGGTGTTTGTAGTTGTGGATGAATCACAATGGTCTATTTCTCTGCTGTTGGCTCTGGGGCTGCTGAAGTTCAGTTAGAGGTCGAGACTGTAACGACAGTGCGGACTATATTTAAAATGTAGCCTGGGACGGCCAACCACCGAGGCCTCCTCTCTGGACACTCTGTGGCATTATGGTTGGATTCAAGTGGCGATCAGTTACATAAAGAGGAAAAGAACAAGCGGATGCCTGCCGCTTTCACGCGTATCCTCTGCTTGGAGGAAAAGCCTGCCAAAATGTTATCAGGTGCGACCTCTAGTGGTGAAAATAGTTAGTGCGGGCCCATTCCACCGTGGCCTGGCATCTGCCCGTTTTAATCCTGTGAGTATTAACTTATAAATAGTAATTCTGTGGATCTCATAGAAACTTCAAATTACTTAAGCCCTGCATGAAGCGACTTGCAGCACTGAATGTAAAAAAAAAAAAAAAAAAGAAAATGCAAAAACAAAAGCCAAAATGAAGGCTCGCACCATCTGTTCGATCATAAAAGCGTGTCCTCCCTTTCTCCGTCAGGTGGCCAGGCTTTGGGGGATGCAGAAGAACCGTCCGGCCATGAACTATGACAAGCTGAGCCGCTCTCTGCGCTATTACTATGAGAAGGGCATCATGCAGAAGGTATGGAGAAGCAGAGAGAAACGTCACTGTAGCACGTTAGTTCATATGCATGGATGAAAATTACTGGTACGCAAGTAAGCACTCGCCGTATATAGCAATACGCGCAGCGATTTCTTGTAACAGCACAAATGCTTTCTTATAGTGCGTTTGTGCTGTTATGACAAGAAATTACCACGTATTTTAGTCTTTAGATGGTGGATGTGTTCATTTGCGGTATAAAGGTTAAAATGCAGAGATCTCTCTGCTTGTGAGAGTTGGCCGGGTAGCTCTGTCACCCGTTACCTGTCTCTGTGTAGACGTTCCTCTTTCTCTCGTATCGCATGCCGCCTCTGGTCCTCTAACAGCCTCCGTCTGCGTCCGTTCCCCCGCAGGTAGCTGGCGAGCGCTACGTCTACAAGTTTGTGTGCGAGCCCGAGGCCCTCATCTCGCTGGCCTTCCCCGACAATCAGCGGCCCAGCCTCAAGGCCGAGTTCGAGCGCTACGTCAATGAGGAGGACACCGTGCCTCTGTCTCACCTGGACGAGGGAGCCGCCTACCCCTCCGAGCCGGCTGCCCCCGGCATGGGTGCCCAGCCCTACTCCAAAGGCTACATGTTCTAAAGGCCAGACGCTCTTGCACACACCCCACCTGCCCCCTTGTATATATGGCTATGGTGTTATTTTTTTTGTTGTTTAAATTAATCCTATTAGGGATTCCCAAGGTTTTAAAAGCTGCGTTCTTCTCACTTCTGAGGCTTCTCCAATCCAAATACACAATGGTGGTTAAACTGATCGCTTAATAAACACACAATATTAATACCACAGAGTCAGGCCTTTCCTTCAGCTCTGAAAATTTAATCATTACATAGTTCTTGGGGTATGCCCTTTGTACTTGCTTGCATCCACCGTACCTGTATCAAAATCTGAATAATGGTTATAATACTGTATCATACAATTTTTACCGTTAACTCTATATATATAAGCTATTAAATGCTGATACGTATAACAAGTAGCTGTCCATAATGTATTTTATTTAATTGTGAAAAAGGCGTGATGGGGGAAATTAGCATTTTGTATACACCATTGTTTGTCTGTCTGTCCTTCTATGTGTCTCTGACATCTTCACACAAACATAGCGGATTTCAGTGTATGGAGAACACACAGTACCCAGACTGAATTTGCACACCAAGTTTCTCAGGCTCAATTCAGGGATGTCGCAGGGGTCACGAAAACAGGGGGGGGGGCCCAGCATGAGGCGAGGGGAACCAGAAGGTACCCAGATGGTCTGTAAATCAAACCAGCCGGGCATGGGGGGGGGGATAACTCAGGGTATAAATGTCTAACCAGGCCTCCCTAGTACACATTATGTTCGGTCTCTGCGGACAGACACTTCCTGACATCAGCTGGATGGCACTGATAGTCACTCGCTGGTCTATGCCTGAGATTTACAGTGACAGGATACCAAAGCTGCATGGGCCTCAGCCCCTATGCAATTCAGAAATGCTTCTGACAGCATGTAATAGTCAAGCAGCTAAAAGCGTAAGGACAGTCCATCTGTATCGCGTGAATGGAGAAGACCAAGTGCTCACTCACCCCAGAATGTTCAAGGACAAGATTGCAGTTCTAAAAAGCTGGACGTTCTACGAAACACCTTTGATTCTTGTTTGTTCTGAATGAGAATATGTGGAAGTTTAGTCCAATACCAACAAATGTGCCATTAATAAAATGAGATTGGGGAAATGAGGACTGAATGAAGCCATTTCGCCGGAGCCCTTCAGTAAATATTAAGCTGTATTGTGTACATTTAGTTGCTTAGCAACATTTTTTAGTAGTATTTGCTCTAAATCAGCTGTCTGGTGGGAAGGCAAACTCTCAGTGCAGAATTCCTTTGTTTCTTCAGGCGGTAGATACAGAGTGATTTGGAAGAGTAGACTGTGAAACGTTACCCTGTGCTGACTGTGACCTCATTGGCCACTACCCAGGTCGTACATCTGTACCGGCTGAACACTGTACACTGCGCTCCTGATTCACTCAGTCTCAAAAAAAAAAAAAGTGTTGAACGTTCGATCCAATAATGTGCTTCCATGTGAAACGCCCTAAATCTTAAACAAACCTGTCGGAAGGATTCTGTAACCGTTAGCTGTACCCCAGAGGTAAAGGTTCATTCTTACCCTGCTGTTTTAAATATGGTTTCCTAATGCCAAAGCCGCATGAGAAAGCTGTAGGGAGATGGGAAAAACAGGAAACAGGAAGACAGACAAGGGTGTTTAATGAGCAAATAAAACGAGTACAGCTGAAGCCTAAATAGACAAACCCAAGTTCCAAATGGACATAAAAAATAAAGTTATATACACATACATAAACCCCCCCTGCACTGTGGCTTTCAGTCCAAGACAGATCCTGAAAAAGTACCTGAAACTCAGATACAAGCAATTTATGTTTCTTTATATGAAACAGTGCTCTGGAATTCCTCAGGGGGAGGAATGGTTGAAGGGCCCAGGTACAAGCATTTCCCATCTGTACATTTCTGATGAATTACTTTACCGGTGGTCCCTTTAGCACTCACCATTTTTTGGGGTAACCATGAGGACCATTAGCACATAGCAACAGGTTTCTCATTGGACAAATGTGTGCAGCACCTATGCCCAACACAAGACCAGCTAAAGGCATGTTCCGTTGCTGAAGAAAGGTGCAAGACACCTTTTCTTAAGCCATTTTGCCACTACTTGAGCCCAATACCCCCCCCCCCTCTTTTAAACAATACATGACATTGTTTATTACAACTGCTACAATGGTCCTTCTGGCCTCAGAAATATGAATGGCGGTTGCAGTAAAATACACCAGGGACTATGAAAAAGTTCCAGAACATTTGTTTGTAGCCGAAGAGGAAGTGTGGTAAAGACAGCGGGAGAGATACGGGAAAGTTAACCCCCCGGGCCTGACGTGGGGGCCTAGCGGCGGCGGAACGCCCGCGAGATGCGCCAGGCGTTGGGCTCCTCATAGCGGTTGTATAGCGGCTCCAGTCGCTGCTGCTTCTTCTGCTTGCTGAGCCGCGTGGGGTCGGACACCTTGAAGAAGGCCGGGGCAAACTCCACCAGCCAGCGCGGGTCGATGGTGGTCACCTCCCGCATGTACTCCTTGGTGGTCAGCACCAACTCGTGGTACACCACCCTGAGAGGAATAACATAGGGCAAGATGATGGCTGCAGGCACTCTAACCAAATGCCAGATTATCTTTGCTCATGCTTGGTGCTCCATAGCCAGTCTTGGCCATTTTACAGTTCATTGGGATGAACATATATTCAACCAGCATTCTGTTGACTTTTTAACGCTCAACATTTCAAGCAGTTCTACAGAACCCATTAGATTGGCTGAATGTACCTAGCAATAGGAAAGAGGCAAGTTTGTAGAAAGGAATTACCCAGATATTGACTGTCATTGTGGAAGTGCTGTTACACTAGTACAATGAAACTGAAGACTGACGACGAAGACAGAGATTGTTCCTGTATCTCGAACTAGTTCTGGTACTTGGTTCCTTGGTACTTAGCTCTGGTACTTGGTTCTTTGGTACTTAGCTCTGGTACTTGGTTCCTTGGTACTTAGTTCCTTGGTACTTAGCTCTGGTACTTGGTTCCTTGGTACTTAGCTCTGGTACTTGCCTTAACCCATTACCCCTATGTATTTTCAACCTACATTCTACAGTAGAAGCTGGGGGAAAGCAGGCGGCCAGCACTCACCATTCCGGCTGGCGGTTGAACAGGGCGCTGGAGGGGTGGATGTATACCACCTGCTGGTCGATAAGGGTGCGGTAGCCCTCCTGGGGGTCCTTCTTGGCCGCGTTGCGGAAGAAGCCACTGCAGATGGCCTTCTGCACTCGCACCGTGGCCTTCCCACATGACACCACGTCCAGTTTGTGTCTAGGTAAACGAAACTCACTTTGTACTGATGCTGGGGGGGGGGGGGGGGGGCTGCTTTTCACATGATTCCTTCAAATGCCTACCCTACTAACAAGAGACTCACTACAGACAGGCCACAACAGAAAGAGGTATGAAACGGTGCCTGAATGAAAGGGATGCTGACGCCGTACACATTTACCAACTACCGCCGAGCTCAAAGCATCCTGTCATCACACAGGCTTTACAGTCGGTAATTGGTGTTTGGTTTCAGCTTGGCGGCTTCAGCTTCTGCTAAATTAGAGCGCTCTTCTAAGATCAACTCCCACATTTTACAAAAATAAACATCTTACACAATAAGTACCTATTAGCCATCTGGTAACCGTGATGTTCAACTCCTTCCTACCGATGTTAAACAACACAGAAGATATAGTGACTAGAACCTAGTGTAAACATTTCTGGTGAGTGTCAAAGGCATGGGGAAGCGAGGCGGATCAGTACACAGTACACAGAGATTCATTAAAGAGGATGACCAGTCAAGTATAACGCAGTGCAGATTTCCAGGACGGCCTCACCTGTCCATGATGCCCAGCATCTGTTTGCGGATGTCTTGAGCACGTCGCAGAGACCTCGCCTGAATGAAGTTCTCATAGCACCAGGGGTTGGAGAACTTGTTGTTCTTCCAGGAGTTATAGACAGCCAGCAGGGTCAGATGGTCCCCTTCAGGCTGGTGGAACTTGGCCTTCTTCTGGTCTGCCAGCGCTTGCTTGTCCTGGAACACAGGTGCATTATGGGTTACATGCTGAACAATCGCTGCTAAAAACATGATCTCAGCAGGTTAGCACCATCCTGAGCCAAATAAAGAGAACATAAAGATGGTAAAATTGAGGTCTATACAGTGTCACGCTGAACGGAACCATGTTCTACTTTCTAGTATGGCTGCTACTACTGATTACATCACTGATCGAGTAATCTGACAATAGAGTAATATTCAACCATCCATTCATTCATTCATTTTCTGACCCTGCTTGTCCTATTCAAGGTCGCCGGGGGCCCGGAACCTATCCCTGAGGTTATGGGTGCAAGGCAGGGAACAACCCAGAATGGGGTACCAACCCATTGCAGGACACACACACAGAGTTTGGTAACTCCAATTACCCTCAGCATATTTTGGGACTGTAGGGGGGAAACCGGAATACCTGGAGGAAACTCCATGATGATATGGGGAGAACATACAAACTCCACAGACATGGAGCCACGGTGGAGACTTGAACCCAGGTCCAAGAGGTGTGAGGCAACAGTGCTAACCACTGCTTCACTGTGCCACCCCACTTATAATACAATATATAATATAATAATGCAATACAATATACATTGCCGTTGCTGTGCACTCAGTCACACATATGGTCAATTGAGGCCTTCCAATTCACTTGATGTTTTTGCTGAAAAGCCACACCCACACAGGATGAACATGCAAACCACACACACGTAGGGTAAACATATCCTTATGGGGACCGCTCATTCATTTCAATGGGAAAAATGCTAACGCTAACTATGACAACCTTAAACCCTACCCTGCCCTAACCATAACCATAAGTAACCTAACAAAATACAAGAGTTTTTGCATTTTTAGTTTTTTCATAGCAGTCACCGATTTTTATAAAATAGAGTTTTCCCTTATGGGGACCAGGAACCCGGTAGTTTAACATTTAAGCGTAGATCAAACAAGCAATCTGCTGTCCAATTCCCTAAGGGATGTTTTAATCAATATCATGTTAGGATATGTACGTAAGTCATCTACAATTCATAGTGGGTGGGAAAATGCGAGCATGTGCTCTAAACACACTCTAAACCTGAACATTTGGCAGTTAATTGCCTTTTTGGCTAGGGGTAAAAACCCCAAACACAGAGTGAGGAGAAGAATACCAATGAACTCTCTCTTTTTCGGCTGGTTATAGTAAGATGTGGAGGTTTGTGTGATGCAGCCTACCTTGGGCCTGTAGAAGACATTCTGCACGGACAGCATGGACACGATGGTCAGCATCTCTTCACTGCAGCCCAGGTGGACAGACATGATGAGCATCTTGCACAGCATGGGCTCCAGGGGAAACTCAGCCATCTGCAGGCGGGAGGTGGGAGCAGGTCGTCAGGCAGAGAAACACCCGACACGCAAGCCAAAGCATCCGAGGACGTCTCCGTTTTCACCTTGATCGTTGCACCTAAGGTTCCCGTAATTAGAGGCACCACTAGTAAAACAGCAAACAAATTTCCAAAACGGAAGTGAAAACGGTCTTAAAATGGATTCTCTTCCTGAACTTCATTTTGAAGGACTTTTGGCAGATAAACATCAATGTGTGATATTTGAGGAAGGCAGAGCTTCACCCTCCCACCTCACTGACACGCTCACACACGCCCCTACCCTGCGACCCAGCCGGGTCAGCAGCCCCTCGTCATCCAGGGCCCCCAGAGTGTACAGCTGCTCCATGGCTGTGATCAGAGTCTCCATTGGGGGAGCATCCATGAAGTCAAATGAGAGAAGGTCATTGATACCCATAGCCTGTGGAGGGAGGGGAACCAAAGAGAGATCAGACTATACAATGGAAGGCAGATACAGCAGCTCTGAGGCTCACTTCAAAGGGGGGAGGCGGGTACCTTCAGGGACAGCACAGTACTGGCCAGGTTGGTCCTCTGGATCTCAGGCACGTTGGTGGTGAGCATCTCGTCCCTGTACGCTCGCTCAGTGTACAGCCTGTAGCACTTGCCTGGCCCGGTTCTCCCGGCACGGCCCGCTCGCTGCTTGGCTTGGGCCTACAGTGTCGGAAACGTCCACAATACGTTGAATTAAATTAAACACAGGTTTCGGATTCAGATCGTAAAGGTTCTGAAGTAATACTGGAATGCTTGGTAAAGGCAGGATTACAAAGAATAGGTCATAAGCTGCACACTATAAGAACCTCGAATGCGATAATGTGGTTACCTGTGAAATAGGCGTGACTACCAGCTGGTCAATGCCAGTCTTTGAGTTATACACCTTCTGCTTCACAAAGCCTGGGTCGACCACGTAATAGATGCCGTCAATAGTCAGCGACGTCTCCGCAATGTTGGTGGCGATGACAACCTGAGACACAAGCACACGGGTCATCTGCAAAGCCAGCTCCGTCAGACCCAATAATCAACCAGAGCATGACGTGGTGGAGGGGGGGGACGGTACCTTTCTACTGCCAGGCGGTGCCGGGTCAAAGATGCGGGTTTGCATTTCACTGGGGAGGGCGGAGTACACAGGGAGGATGATGAGTTCTGGGACGTCCGGGCCGAGACTCTTCATCCTCTCATACAGGATCTCGCAGGCCGTGTCGATCTCCTCCTGACCGGTCAGGAACACCAGGATGTCACCTGTCAGGGTACAACTCGGGTTAGAGAGGACGGGCCAAGCAGTCACCAAGGACTACCCCCATACCGACCTCAAAGACATCTAATGATGAAGAGAGTCTGATGTTTTTACTGTAAACAGCAGCCATTTATGAAAATATAAAAAACTTTTACACAAATATAAATGATTAAGAGACAAAAAGCTGATGCCATAATAATCAGATTTCAACCCTGTCCCCTAAAACCAAAAAGTACCAAGTGAATTAAAAACAGGCGATATAAAACAGGAGACCAGTGTCATAAGTCCCGTATTTCACAAGCAGCGAGAGCTGCACCCTGGCAGCAGCCAGAAAGAGGTACCTGGAGGTTCGGTGAGGTGGATCTGCATCACCGTTATCAGACTGGCATCCAGGTAGTCCGTCTCGGGCTCCTTGGTGTACAGCACCTCCACGGGATACGTGCGGCCCGGGATGGTGAAGATGGGAGCCTCATAGAAGTACTGGGAGAACTTGACGGCGTCCAGCGTGGCCGACGTCACGATCAACTTCATGTCCGGCCGTTTCTGCACCGACTGCAGGAACGAGGGATGCACCGTAAGTTTCTCTCTAAGTTTGCACAAACTTAACATTTACATGATTTCTCTGCTATGAAAATCCATTCCTTGAAAAGGGAAAGCAGAAACGTGATAAAAACTTAAAAACAGTTAAAGGGGAAAAAAATGGATGGATCATCACAATGAAGCCCTAAAGACCGTAAATGAAAGAAAAAAAAAAGTTCACATTTCAAAGCCTATAGCCTAACTGTAATCAAACGCATCAGCCTTCCTTCAGTAGCAAAACTCCCGCAACTCTTCAGTCTCACTCTGCCATGTGCGGTTTTGGTGAATTTGTATTCACATATGTTCACACCACAAAGACAAGAAGCTTTGATTTAAATCTGCAAAAGCAGGACTAAACTAAGCTGCCCATGAATGTGAGCAAAACCCAGGGGCTCAAATCAAGTCGCACTCTTTCCACACTGCCGGATACAAAACCATAATGATGGAAGGTTTCAGAGCGGCGGACACGGAAGTCAGCTGTACTGCTCCGTGTAAGTAATGGGAGGGGCTATTAGCCAGATCACAGGAAGGACCCGAACGGGGTCGTGGGCCCACCTTCTTCAGCAGCCCAAAGAGCACGTCTGTGTGGATGGTCCTCTCGTGGGCCTCGTCCAGCATGATGATGGCGTACTGGCCCAGGTCCGGGTCGATCAGACACTCCCTCAGCAACATGCCGTCCGTCATGTACTTGATCACCGTCTCCGGGCTGGTGCAGTCCTCGAATCGGATGGTGTAGCCTACCTGCGGGGGTTTGGAGGGAGGACAAGTGGGGGGGGGGGTTACCACAGAGGGAAAAGGCGAGGCAGCAACGCCAGACAGGGCACATGAGGACCACGTGGACAGAGATCTATGGCTGGTTCGGGTCACACAGAGAGCCCTGCTGAGTGATTTACTGAAGCAGAACCAAACCGGAGGTTAAGGCACAGATCTCGTTGATCTTTGCACTTTATTAAACTCCATCCCACTGCTTGGCATTTATAGTATTTTACAGCGACGGCACTGTGGCTTCGCACCTCTAGCATTAGGGTTAAGATCAAGTCCCACTCTGTAGGTGTGGTGTTTGGCACTCAGGTTTCCTGTAGCGCTTAGGCCAGCTGGCATCACCATATGTGCGATTCTGTGTGTGTGTGTGTGTGTGTGTACTTTGGGTACTGCCTGTGTTTGCAGGGTTTCCCATTACTCTCCAGCATATGACTGTATGTGAGCATGTACTCTGCAGTGGGCTGGCTCCCCATCCCCGGGAAGCCATGCTATGTTACACTGTTTCCAGCCGCATTGCAGCCCTGTACAGCAGAAGCAGTGTGGATACACAGGATGATTTATTTGTGCTTGAACCAACATGGCCGAAGGACATGCTATGTTCAGCAAAATTATCAGTATTAAAAACATCCACTGAACAATCACCTTGGTTTGCATATTTAGTCCTGCAGAATTTCTTGCTTTATTTCGTGAACAGACGGGAAAATAACATTCTGCAAAGCCTGCAAATGGTCGACTGAGGTGCAGTTACCAGCAACCGTCCTGGTCTTGAGACTCTTCACCATGACACTCCCACAGTCTCGCCTGTGATGCCCCTCATCAGAACTGCATCCAGCAAACCACTTACCTCCCAGTCCAATAAACAGGCTAATGGCCCGGGAGCCGGCTGCGGCCCCTAATGGGCCCCACGCGGGTTTACGTGTCTCAGACGGCGGTGGGACGAGGCGCGGGGGGGGGGGCGGCACACCCACCTCCTGGCCCAGGCAGCAGCCGTACTCCTCGGACACCCTCTTGGCCACAGACATGGCGGCGACACGCCGCGGCTGGGTGCAGCCGATCTTGCCGCGCATGGTGTACCCCGCCTCGGCCAGGTACTGCGTGATCTGGGTGGTCTTTCCAGAGCCGGTCTCCCCGATCACTATCAGAATCTGGTTGTCGTGGACGGCCTTTTAGGAGGCAAGAGGACACAGGAACATAATTTTTACTCTTAAGCCATTCAAAGCTATCATAGAAGGTCAAATTAAATGCTCACATCACAGTGGGAGCTCAGCAGAACCATCCTAGCCCAGTGAGTGTAGAACTGTCGCCACAGATTACCTGCAAACCATGCATCTCTACTGATATTAGTCATATGCAATTTCCATTATGTAACTGATGAATTAAGATAAATCACAAAATGGAGACTTGAGTATTATATGTATATATAGTTCAGGTTTGAATTTTCATGTGGGGAGCTGGATATTACAGAACTAATGTAGTTAAACAAGTGTTTAAGTGAATGTTACATTACGCCCTGGAGGTGCAAGCATTAATTAATTAATTAAGCAAGCCCATGTCTGCACTAAATACACAGCGCCCTCTACTGACCTGGATGAGCTGCTCCTTCAGCTTGTAGATGGGAAGGCTTTCCCTCTGCTCCACAATGGACAGCTGCGTCTTCTTCCCGTAGGAAGCCTTGTTGCCGCCAAAGGCGTGTTTCTTCCACTCTGGGATGTCGTTGGGCATCATGCCGATGCCCCTCATGTTGGCTGCGATCTGCCGTCCGTCGGCTAGTTTGGGCAGGAGAGCGAAGCGCGTTAACAGGGTTCATGGGGCGAGTTGGAGGGAGCCGCAGGGCCGGCGCCACTACAGTCGTGAAGCTGCCTTTACATGGGTCGTCTTCCTGGACGTCCCGACCAGCTAAGCCACAGACACATGCATACAAATGGGCGAGAGTGCTATGCTGCATCATTAGTAATCACGTATGAAGAGTGATGAAAGGATCTTCAGGGTCAGAGTCAGAACAAGTGACAGTCCCAAAAAAGTAGTCCGGGAAAATTCTGAATTACAACGCTTTCATATCAGAGATAAAAGTACCGATTTTGAACGAACACTTGCAAAACAAATACCTATTACACTCCTCCAAAAAGGGTAAACTAAACTTTAAAACCCAAAGCAGTCACAGGCAGCCTTGCACAGCGTAAGCAAAGAGGAATGCAGGGGAAGGCGGGGCCAACCGTCAGGCAGCGGGTCCACCCAGTGCTTGTTCAGCCCCATGGGGATGGAGTCCATCTCAGCCTCGCGCTGCGCCTGCTTCACCTCCCGCCGCTCCTTGGCAAGAGCGCTCTGCATCATGGCGGCCTGGGACAGGGAGCCGTCCGGGTTCTGCGAGGAGCCAAACCAGTGACAGGTGCATGTGTGAGGAAAACACCAGGCTTAAGAGTAAACAGTATTTATAAGAAGAAACTTTAATATACCATAATTCTGAGTACTAAATAATCTTACATAAAAAGGAAAAAATATGCAATAAAGCATGTGGGGTCTGGAGCACAATTCTGGTTCTGGAATGATTCCCTACAATCTCAATACCATAACTTTTTGATCTGCAAGCATCCTGTATGATCGCAAACACAGCTATTTCCAACTGATTATCCTCAAAGAGGATGAACTGGACTTCAGGGGAAACGCCTAAAAGCAGCTGTATGAATGCAGAGCCGCACAGCATGTTGAGCAGAGAGCGCCAGTCTGTAGCTGGGAGGCTCCTGGGCCGCACAGGTGCAAGCAGCAGACCTTGACGATTTTGACGGGACTCATGTCCATGCTCTGCTTCGTGTGCCCCCGCAGAAAAGGAGGCTCCTCCTCCACCAGCTCGATCTCCAGATCTTCGTCTACAAAGGGCACAAACGCTTGGCTTCAGAACGGCCTAGTACGCATCACTACAGTACACTCCCACCTACTCCATATGTAAATGCTGATCCACAACTGTGCCATGTTCTACAATTAATAAAGAGCTCAATGATTGGATCAGAGCAACCACAGGCCTGGTTGGAAGAACAGAAAAGCCAGGAGTGCAGCCCGTAGGACGAAGAAACCAGCACTGCATATCAGCGAGTCAGCCATGGAAGGTGCATCACAAAGCAAATATTAATGTTTACGGCGATATACTTAGGAAAGTAACTCATCCCAGAACATAAGCTACCAGAAAACTATATTCAACACGAGGAAGACCTACCTTCTTCATCATCGACTTTTGGGAGAATGCCAGTCTCCTCATCAAAGTCAGGAAACTCCTCCTTGGAGAGCACATTGGCAGCAATCATCTGAGCGAAGAGAGGAGGGGGAAAAGAAACAGCAGGTCTTTATAAAAACATTCAATCCATCCATCCATCCATCCATCTTCTGTAACCCATTGTCCTATTCAGAGTTGTGTGGGGTCCGGAGTCTATTACGGAGGGTAGGGGGAGAAGGCAGGGAACAACCCAGGAAAAAAAAAACAAACAAACATTCTTAATCACCAAATCAGCTTGAAACTATTGATTTTATATAAGTGTGATTGACACATCTGTTCAGTGAGTAGCAGCGCTGACTCTCCACACCAACTCCTGGACTTGAAGCTCTATCCACGATCCCATCCAACCTTGTCCTGATTCCCAGGTTGCCTGCAGACGCACCTGTTTGATCTCCCACTTCTCTGGATCAGAGATCTTAGTGAGCCTCTTGCGCTCCAGGGTGTCGTCCTCCACCTCAGGCGCGTGTCCCAGGTTGAGGTTGGTGGGCCGGTCAGGGTTCCTCATGGCCGTCTCCTCGCTGCCATCGGGCCCCATGTTGCGGCGCCGGTTGGGGTTCAGGTCCTCGCCGGTGTCCTGGTCCACATCCTGCACAAGACCGCATTCACTAATCATTTGGAAAACCAAACCGGAACTACATATTCCAAGGGAGTACATACTGCAGAATGCTAACCTTCCCTAACCCTGTAACTGTCATACTGGTAAAAAAGCAAATAAAAAAATTAAAAAATGCAGCCCCGTATCATAAAGCTGTTCACTGCCAGAAGTAAACATGATATGTAAACTTTATAAAGCTCTCATGTCTGACGTTTCAAGTAATTGGCATATTTCTAAAAATTCAGTATAAAAATTCAAAATTCATAAAAAGTATTTACACTAACCTAATCAAAACAAAAGATAAGCATTTTGGAATATGTGTATTAGTTTTAGGGCATGTCTATGCAGCGGCATGCTTTAGTAGTCTGGTTTATCTAGTCATCTTTTGTGTTCTTACGGGATACTACATTTCATCCGACATCATCCCATTGTTTTATTTATTCATTAGTGTGTGTGTGTGTGTGCGTGCGCAAAAAACAAAGCAAGTGCAAGAAATGCTTTACAATTCAGTGCTTTTCAAGAGTAAAATTCAACTATCTGGCACTGCCCTTGTCCCAAAGTTGCCGGACACTAAAATTTTTACTGTATATAAATTCAGCCTGTTACATCATAAACAAAAAAAAATAATAAAAACTTTGAAATCCATTAAACACAAATCTCACTCACCTTCATACTAAGGCTGGTCTTTGACCCAGTGAAGGACAACACTTTGACCTTTACCCGCTGACCTTTGCTGACCACATCAGCTACGTTGGCCACACGCCCCTCTCTCCTGAGCTCTGAGATGTGGACCAAACCCTCCCAGCGTTTTCTGCCAAAATAGGAGGGTTGAGGACATTCAGCTTCAATTACCACACATTGTGAAACTCTTTAGATAATGCAGATATGAAAAAACTCATATGGAAATTTCAGATAAACACAGAAAATTAATACCCTGCAAAATGGGTACACTAAAGGAATTTCATAAACCTGAAACCTGAAAGGCACAAGCCACTTTCTTCTAACGTGGAAAGAACAGGGTTCCCACTTTTGTGAACCACCTTTAAATTTGATATGTTGCAGTCAAAACACAGGCCACTGTCAAAGAATAACCTAAACTTTACTATAAATTATCCTGACACCTTTAAAGCTTACATTAGCTTTACAATTTCTGACAATACATCCCCAAAACACTTTTCTTAAATGAAATGCTGAAATAATAAAAGGCTTATTATGCAATTAATGCTACAACAAGAGTTTAAATCAAAATGGCCTTTGTTTTATACATCGTCTATAGCAGAGGTCACTAACAGGCGGACCGCGGTCCGGACCCAGAAGCTGTCCTATACGGACCCGGACCGATAGCCAAAACATTAAGTTATTATTTAAAACCTGACGCTTCTATTTTATCCGGCGTAGTTTTTGTGGTCTTTTCGGTAGGGTTTTAGCAGGAGAACCGCCGTTTCCCACACCAATGAACGTCAAACGCCTCTAACAGCGAGCTCGATGGGCCGAATGGCCTCCTCTCGTTTGT